CCGGTATACGGTAGGGAGTTTTTATTCAGGCTCGAATCCCCGTTGTCCATTACAGGCGCAACGATTAAACTTTACCGAAGAATACAGGTAAGTAAAGACGTGCATAGCATACGCAGATGACGGCTATGCCATCGGCGTCGCCATGACGACGTCCCTCCTGAATCATCCTCGTCCTCATCCCACTGACGTCGGGCCTCCGTCGTCGTCGTTGGGTCGGCGTCGTACGTACGGCCGCGGGACCAGATCAATGACATGCCCTCACACGTTTCGGCCCTGCGGTCATACATTTAAATTGATTACTCCGACGATAAAAGCGATGTGTAACGTTTTGCGGTTTTTTTATAACGTTAAGTTTTCGGTTTGTTTAAGCGATCGGAGTACGCTTGATGCATGCTAATGCAACTGCATATTGACTGAGAGACAGACGGTGTAAGAATTGTTTGAGTTGAAATTGAATATCAAGAGATTATAGATAAATCAGTTTTTATATAATATTATTCGATGCCAAATCATTTCATAAAATGTAATAATGCGAATGATATATTAATTTTAAATTGGATTTTATGTGTGTGTGTGTGTGTGTATAGGCAGAGTGAACGCCTCTGTGGCAACACAACTACCTGATATGACGAAATAAACCCAATAAACTTCCAACCTATCAAATTTTGCCGAAGTTCGTTTAATATCTTCGGGCGGAACTACGGAAAACCAACTATTCAGCGTAAAATTTACGTGAAAATCAGATTATACCGGAGGCGAGAGAGAAGGCGAGATAACTAAAAGTTTTCCCAAGTATTTCGCGCCGTTTCGCTGTCATAAGGTTTTGTCAAGACAAACAATGTTTAGTTTAAAGAGAATTTTGAACAGTCAATTTCGCCTTGCAAACGACTTTTTGATAGACAGTAAGTTGGGAAAGTTACGACGCGGGGTCGAAGGAATTCGCCCTATAATATATTATAGATACATACTAAAACGTCTACATAAAGGAAAAAAAAAGAGCGAAAATTGCTCACATAAACAGCAATCATCATAAGAAAATAATAAAGCCTCTTTTGAACTATAAAATTTGACCTTTTAAAAGTTATTACTGTGAAATGTCAGCAATGCGACATTTTGTATATTGCTCTGTGGAATGGCGCTGAAGGATCGCTTAACGAAATGGGATGCGTACTGAGAGTAAAGGGCAATTTCTCGAACGTTTTCCACGCCAAGTTTTACAATTAACGCCTTAATGAATTGCAAATAAATAATAAACGCAAATAATTAAAACTTTCTTTTGCTTTAGCCACGTTCAATAAATTTTCGACTGAAACTGTGCGTTTCATGCTAAAGATCAACAAACCTTGCTATACATATACTTTAAATTGTATACTGATAATCCTAATTTTAGAAAAAAACTAAATTAGTCGACAATATCAATTTTCATATTTAAAATACACTAAAAACACGCTTTAATTCAGATGACAACAATGCATCTATTAAGGTGTATTGTTCCTGTCATCAGTTACAGTTCGATTTGTCTATAGGTAGAAACATGTAATTACCATTTTGTTTTCCTTTTTTCAACAAAGAACGATTTAAATCGTCCCTCTCAACAATACTGAAACAGTGTCTCTAGGGAAGTTGCATTAGCGAAATGAAGAATTTCCAGTGGTATTAAAAATTTTCCCGTATATTCCTCTATTCCTTCTGCCTGCAGCGGGAAAATAAGTAGGATGAAACAAAAGATACAGCGACCGGTAGTAAAACTCGACGAGTTCTTTGATATCTTAAACAATAGGTAGATAATGTAGGAACGATAAGACATTCTCTCTTTGAATTTTTTTCCTAGTTTTTGCATAAAGTTAAGTACAGCTTTTGATCTAATGTACACGATTAAACTATATACTGCACTTTTACATATATTTACCGAAATTTGCTTCATATTACAATTTAATGGATATGGATACTATGAAACGACTTTTCTAAATTAGGATGTACGAGATTGTTAATATTGTTCTTGCAATTTTCAGGAGAAAATCTCATTTTTTTCCACTCCAATCCAATTTCTACCTTTTTTAGACGAGCAAAATCGTCTCTAACACTCCCGACAATCGCATTACCTCGCAAAATAATCGCGCAAAAAAACGCCGCACCTGCGCCCTCTAACCCTATTAAACGTCTTTGAACGTTAGACGGTGCTTCTGTTAGTCCTACAGTAATCGTTCTAATTCTGATTGATGTTTAATTGAATAAAGGGCACGTCTAGTTGCGATACACTTCATTCGCTTTTATTTTTCGTTTTCTTTCTTCTGCTACCCGCTTTGTTCCGGTCGTTAGATTGGGGAGTTTGTCGCAGTTGATAACCTTCAAATTGGTTGGGAGATGTGTGCGTTTGATTAAGTTATTTCGGTTGTTTGGTAGAAATGTGGAAAAAGGCAATAAGAGGAATGGTATGGCGACATTTTACTCTGAGTGGATCGATTTCTCCAACGAGTAGGTAATGATTTTTATGGTTGGTTGAAAATATTGGAAACCGATTTTTTGAAATCTACTGTAATACTTCTTTTATCGCGTGTTTTATTAGCGGAAGATTGTCGTTCAGTAATTGGAAGTGGTCAAGTAGATTTTTGATAGTTACTTTTTTAACGAATACTCCTCTTTGTTTTAATATAAGAAATTCTCTACTATTTTAAATTTCAGCGCGATTTAACTGAGTCTCGACTTTATTTACAATACAGCCAATAATCCCTAAGATAAACTAGCCCTAACGTCAATGTTTGCTTTTGAATTCGTTGGTCACGGATTCTCGTACAAACCTAAGCGAAATTCCCCAATTTCCATCGACTTCAACCAACTTAATGACTAGCAAAAATTAAGTATCCAGTTAATCCTAGCTTTATCGCCCCTTTACCATCGACATCGCCCTCAACTAGAGTATAAATTATTCCACCAAAGTAAACCTAACCACATTTACACTACAAACCTTCTCGAAAATACCGAAACCTCGAAATCCCATCAATCAACCAACCCACCTACGCTCATCCCTCTCTCGTCGAAGCGCCACCAGCCCCCGTGTACATCCCCCCGACGATCGGTCGCGGCAAAATCAATTGTTTAGTTGCCTTAATGTCCGTAGGCCCTCTAGTATAGAACTTGGGACTCTTCGGAGATGCTTTGAACAGTAGCGGTAAGACAATTCAGAGATGGATTACCCTTTGTAACCATGTGTATCCCTTTGATCCTTGGTTACTAATACCGTAATAGGATTGTTAATTTATTTTTTATTCGAGCAATGTATGTTGTTGGTGTACTAAACATTTTTAAAAGTATATTTGGAATTAAAATGGTGGTATATCAAGGGCACTGGACGTTGTCCATAACTGCTAAATTCGACTCTGGAGTTTTGCTTGAAGCAAAACAATGGAATTATTGGATTTATTTTGGATTCTATTGCAGACTATTGTGTCTGCGGGCAAGCAATTACAATGATTTGGTACTTTATATAGATGTAGTTGGAATTTGTATTGCGTTTTATTGTGGTATTATGTAATAGGAATAAAAATTTAAAATTTGGAATATTGGATTATATCCGTCACTATTCGGAAATACTAAATACAAATGATAAATATTCAAAATTTTCTTCCGTCAGATTTTACAATTTACATAGGTACTTTAGGAAATGCTTTCATTAATATTTAAAAGGAGTGGTTAGTTTATTATTCATCGCACGTATTTAGTAGCCTTACATTGGCCGCTGCAAATTATTCAAAATGCCTGAAATAACTGGTCCGTTTCCGCTGATATCAAAATGTATTTCACTTCATCAATAATTTTATGATAGAAGGAATATAATATCGAACATTATACTCGATAAATAATTGGGTTTAATCACTTCTAAATATGTCTACAAATTTTTACTAGTATATTTTTGCTATCCGAATGGATAAGAGTAATGTAAGGAACAGGTATACGATATAATCTTTTAAAAACATCCCACGAAACATATTCGTCACACCCGTGGTGCACGGGTCTCCCTATAACAAATAAAAATTTCAATTAGATTTCCTCCGTTGTTCCAGGCTCGAATACCCAGCATCCAGAGGCGAGTTTCCAGAACGAAATAATAAGAGAAATTGGAAGAAACCGTTCGGGAAATAGAGGAAATGGACCCATAACATCAGGTATGCAGACATATTGAGTATTTTCAGGAGGCAGGAATATGATATAGTCTAAGAGCGCCAATAAAATGTTACTCCGGTGCTGTAATTTTTGATAAAAATTGGAAAAACAAATTTCTTTATCGAATAATAATGAGTTTGGATTTGGTGAAAATTGCTTTCAGTTTTCTTTCGCAATGTTTTTTTTAAGTATACCTGCATGATATGTGTATGCAATTTCATTACCTACACTATACAAAAATAAATGGATATATGTATGTAGATAAAATACGAAATTACAATATTACCTCAATAATAAATCCACTCTCATAAATTTCATATGTGAAAAACAAAAATGTTATGTATATTATACTCTAAATTTTTGAAATTCTTCAAAATACTTTCAGAATTAATTCCGTAAATTATACCAACCTAAACACAAATATCATTTATGTAAATGTCCAAATTCTCGAGGTAACTGGAGTTTAGAAACGGCAAATAAATTCCGTGTACAGATAGTAGGCTTGGTATAAGGGTGTGGTGAGCTAATTGAGAGGGGTCGAAGTCTGAGTCAAGGGCGACTCTGATGGCATGGCATCGCGGCGCCGATTCCAATTTTCAGACGTCGATGACATCAAGCAACGGAATGTGGGCCGAAATGAATAATAATTACGTTATATAATTACATACGATGCCGAATAATAAACGGAAGTCATGTTACAAAAATGTGGATTCGTTAATTCCAGTGCTAGCTTATTCTGAAATGTTGTTCGTTTAACTTCGAAGCAAAGTAATAAAGGGAATTTGAGACGTATTAAAATACACCTAACTAATTAAAAACTTAATTAACTCAAGAAACCTCAAAATTTATTCACAAACAGAGAAGTATTCAATACAAAGTTCAAGTTTCCTTCATAGATTTTTTCTCCTCTTCGGGCAACGCATTATACACGCACTTAGAACATTCGAAAGCTGTTTCCTCGGGCGTCTTCTTCTGTATTACACACTTTTTCACAATTTCATCGACAATCTTGGACTCGCCTGATACCATTTGCATTTTCTGTTTTATAAAATCAGTTTGCAATTCGTTATTTCCGTTGAAACCTCCCAAGTTTTTATACAAGCACACCAAAAATTCCTTAACTTTCGGATTGTCCTCGAAAACTCCTTCCTTTAGTTTTAGCAAAAGTTCGAAATCGATTTTAGTTTTATCTATGCAACCTGTAACTTCTTTCATCATATCAGTCGCCATACCGTCGGGAATATCCAGTGCCTACAAATATTTTTAAACTTCAGGGAATTTTCAATAGAAAATTTGTAGGAAGTTGGTATTAAAAATGTATTAATCTTTTACTTACCGTAGACAAGGTAGTACAAAAAATTGCACTTAACACTAAAAGCAACATTCTGTAAAGACCTACAGAAATTTTACTATCAAGTAAATATTAAACAAAATAACATCAGACTTAGTAGGTACTAGATAAGTACTCTTTTATATAAAAATTATTATAATTATACAGGAAGGGCTTATTTTATCTCAATGTGATCGGAACATTAAAAAATAATTATAGGACAATGGATATATTTGATCATTTTACCGGTATTCATAATAATATTTTATAAGCCACAATTTAAGATTCATGAAAATAGTTAATATCATCATAATTATTGAAACTATATAGTAAAATATGTAGGTATAATTGGAAAAATACAAGTGTCAAAGCATAATCACTTTTATGTAACATAAAAAAATAATAGGTAGGTACATAATTAATATTTTTTCTTTCTATTAATAATTTCTTAGTAGGTACCTACTCATATTCGTAATGTTATATTCCAATTGAGCTATAATAGCCAATATTCTAAGTCCAATATAAACATTAACGTAGAGAAATTGTATTACAAATAAAGCCGGGTATCACAATAAATTTACACTAATAAATTATACAGAGATCTTAACCTCAATTCCGTATTGTATAGACGTCGGGCCGTCGAGCTCTAACCCGGATCATTATTCTCCATTTTGGGATATTTACATCAAGGTGATGAATACATAATGCTCTAGGTGTTTACGCCCTTAACTGCCCTTTGAGGAGAACCTGCAAGACGAAATGGGAAAGAGAAATACATGTTTTCGGGCGAGATAAAACCGGGTTTACGGTGCTTGATAAATTGAGGCGCATAAGAAGGTACCTAGTTGCTTGTTGCAGGAAGGGAGTTCATTTAAATAGGCAAAGGGCGAGGAAACACGACAATATATTCAGCCACTTTAGGAAAGTAGTTTTGTTGTTCGGGGGATTTTTCGCTACGTTGCTTTTTATTGTAACCTGGCGCATTGAACGATGGATTTTATCATTTTTTGTTGCAATATTCCTTAAGTGGCGACGATTATGAAATAAAATAATATTTATAAAATATATGTTATCTTTTACTTATAATAATTAAACAAACTGAGCCTGCTTGCTTAGCTAATACATTTTGGATCATTCGATATGACCAATAAATATAGGTAGTTCTTTACAATATATCCAAGCTTATTCACGGAGTTGGAGAATGATTTGTGGTAGAATCTTATATCACTATAAGACAACGTGAGAAAGTAGTGATAGAGATAGATCACGGTGAACAGCACATCAAATTTCGAGAATGTAATAACTTTATAATTGAGAAATTTTAAACGCTGCACCTATTTAATTATCTATTAGTACAAAGCTTATATAATATAATTTAGTTTAAACGGAAAAAGCACAAAAAGCTGTCTGATATTCAACGAGTTCAACCGCACTTAAAAATGAAATAACATGAAATGCAGTAGCTCAAAGCTATGAATCTGTACAAAGCATAATTTAATGCAGCCAAAACTCCCGCAATCCTTTGTCTTTTGTCTTGTACCACTTTATTTGCGAATGCTCCAAATTTACCTAGGTATATGTATAATACCTGCGTTTTTAGGGGCAATGGTAAACTTTTTGTTTCCGAAACTCATATTATTTATTATGTAATTATAATTTGAATGTGGCGATTTTAAATCAACTAAGCACCTATAGTAAAACTGAAAAGATTAATTTTGTTAGTAGCCGGGCACCGTTTTTAATCATTCTTTATATTTTATAATTCCACGAACTGCTGACCTTATTTCTTCCCACGCTTTGATAAGCAAAATTCCACAAAGTTATTGCAACTTTGAAGATAAGCGTCCTTTTATTATTTAAATATTGCATTTAAACATTTATAAAGTATTTATAGAAAGGTTAAACTTAGTAACAAAACATGGGAATGAAGAAAGTAGCAATAAAGGAGGTTTCCACTTTTACCTTGTACCGGTATGAAAATGCAATGACAAAGATCTAATGAATAGTAGGAAACATTTTACCATGAACTCAATTCTATGCAAATCCAGGAATTTCCATTAAATAAAATTTGAATTTAGTCGCAAGACTTTACATATTAATGATTTACAGGAAATACGGGTATTTGCTATAATGAATTCAAAATATTTATACATTATTGGTTATGTATATTTACAATTCTGTTTTAGGTTTGCTTTAACTCTGGCACTATTATTAAATGGAATTAAATTATATTCTGACGGTCTTTGTTAATTTTTATAAATTATTTAGTTTATTTTGTTTTTTTATGCGAAGAATAATCATCCTTGGTCAACGGCTATTTGTATAATATAAAAAAGAAGAAAATTAGAGAATTAGAGAAGGGATAAAAAATGCTGCTACACAAAGTTGTAATGTTCTCTATCAACTTTGCAAAGTAAAATGGGAATTTAGAGTTAACCTCAAATAGTAATTACCGCTTTTTCAGTTCCTTTTCTGAAAACTGAGTGTCACGATTTTCAAGAGCGGGATCTAAACTCTTTTCAAATTTGAATGATTAGATATTAAATACTTCTTTTTAAAAATTTGTTTTTTGAGTAAAACCAAGTATGATGGATTTACCGTCCAACTCTTGATGGAATTTTAAATCTAGGGATTATGGGAATATTAGTGTAATTATAAAAAAATCTTTAATACACCTAAATTACACCGCTATACTTACTACATTGTTGCAAAATTTAATTTACATTGAAAATTCTTTAAAGTATATTTAGTTTTTAATACTATCTCCAATACTATCTATATTATAATTTGTACGATAAATGTGTAAAGCCTATCGATTTTGAGCTAAAATCGGAAAATTCAATAATACGTACAAATATTTAGAGCATTTATTTGTTTGAAACGCTCATTTTAAGTTAATTTTTCAATATTATAAATCCATAATTTTCCAAGAAAAAAGTTTATCATCAAACTTTCCTTTTATATTTACACCACAAGTATAACAGATAACAGATCACAAATCTAGGAAACTTCAACAAAGTTACTACAATTACAAATAATTTGTGCCAACAGTGGCAACATTGTAAAATACTAAATAATACACGTTGCACGCATCTGGACCGGCTTGTGAATGTGTGTGTGAGTGTGTGTGTGTGTGTGTGGTGTATGGTTTCGTTGCCAATGAGGAAGTTTTCATTTTCATTATAAGTTTCGAGCGGGAGCGTGAGTTATATCCGCGTGGGATTTTCTGTATCGTTTCGTTTCTAGGTATGCCTTTGGACTCTAAAGAATTAGAATTGTCTATGCGTGTCGATTTTGTGTCATAAATTGTGCGCTAATTTTTGTACATAGTGCCTATCTGCGTCATTGTGGTGTTAAATTCTCGCGAGTAAAATAAGAAATGCTCTAAAACTATTTTATTTTAATTTGTTGGATGCTTTTTTAAATATTTGTCTTATTCGTGTTTATTTTTAATGGTCGATTTGGAAAAGTTCAATTATGAGGGAGTTTGTATCGTCGATTTGGTAAGTATAGTATGACTATTAAAATAGTTTCCAATTCCAAAAAATGTTTGCGCCTAAAATTAATAGCCACATAAACTATTTCGTGACTTTGTCCTATTATTAGTTCTTTAACAGTATCATTATTTAATTAAATTGTATGCATATCTATCAATTGCTTACTTATCGTTATTAACCACATATTAATTTACAATTTTTTACAGTAACTATTGTAGTTCTTCTTAAATATTCGGTCTAAAAGCCCCACTTATCAAATTTTGGGTCACCGTTTACAATTTCAAATGATATACACATAATTATTTTATGTTGTTTAGTGTAGACAGACATTTTTAGCATTCCTCCTTGAAATAAATCGTAGATTATTATCCATAGATATTTGTATACAGTATTGTGAGGTCCATTAGTTTTTACATTCCTAATAATATACAATTTGAACTTAATGCATTATTATAGCTGGTATATTAACATTTTGAGTTTTACAATTGTGAAAATTTAAATTTTCTACCTATAATATAGTACAAAAATTCTGTCTATAATAACACAATATGCTATATGCTCTAATATATGCGGTTTTAAATAATTAATAGATAGGCGAGTATTAATAATAATTATTAAAATATCTCGATTAAGTAAACATTGGATTTTATTTTATGCCGTAAACTAACTGATCTCCGTGAACTTTATCCATTGCGCATGTGACCTTGACGGCTTCAGCTATTCCTGTCGATATGTAGGGGAACCGTCTCATTTCACACTAAAGTTCTATTGGAAACATTGGTTTATTATAGAAATTTCAGAGATAATCGTGTAACCCTGTACGATTGAAACCACAATATAAACACCAATGTGTAATTGAACATAACAAGCGACATCCGCCGGCGTAGATACTTAGGCGGGCGGAGAGAGAGGCAAGAGACGAAAATTCCACTGCAGATAACCACACTCTAAACTAAACACTGATAAAACACAAACAATTGATAAGTGGCGAACACGAAACGGCCGTTGGGCTGTTATCGAAACGCGCGACGTAACCCTTAACGCAAATTCCGGAAACGCCGAAAGGAAACCGGTCGTCGATAAGCGTGAGACAAAATTTTGCTTTTCTTAAAATGTCCCTCCATTTTCTTTATTTTTTTAAAACAACCGCATATTATGGTTTATTTCGAAACGTATTTACAAAGAAATCACATTTCCAGGTCGATAATATTTTAAATATCAACGCCAAGGGTCTCGTATCTTTATATGGAATAAGAATTTAGTTATTATGAAAATATTAGGAAATGTATACAATTTAAATGAACAAATACATACTAACATATTTTTTCTATGAGGTATGATATATTCCAACAATTTTTTCATTACACCAAGAAGAAGTAGAAAGCCTTATATGTCAGCAAACAGTTTGATTGAGAGAACAGTATGAGAAACATTATTTGATCAGAGATAAAACCTTACTAAGTAAAACTACACATGGTTGGGAATTACCTCTGCTTTCTATAGGTATAATATTATTTTTATTCATTTTCATGTTTAAGATAGAATAATTGTTAAGGTAATTTCGGAACTAAAGTAAATAACAAAAACAAATTTAATGTTCTCGAAATCTGAGC